TTGAAATGTATTTTGCAACGAAAGTATTTGAAATACAAATTACAAAATACATTACGGTCAGGTATTTGAAATACCAATTACAAAATACATTTTTAGGGAGTAATTGAAATACAAATACAAAATACGTATTTGTATTTTAAATACGTATTTCAAATACAAGTAATTCAAATACTGCCCAGCCCTGTCCATAACACTGATTGCGCATGTCCAACTAGTACTTGACTGGTTTTTTTATAGTTTTTCCCCGAGAAAACGATTCCTCGTCTCTTTGACGTGAACAATTTATTAAAGCATTCTGATTCTAGTCTATGGATGAAAAAAAAACGCCATAAGTGTGGGTTTGTCCAATTTTCATAAAAATGTGTTTACTTGCTAAAAGAGTGACAAATGAGTTATTGAGACAATCAAAGAAGTACCTATCGTAAACGAAGTTTTAAGTGAAATAAAGAAGGTATGGGGAAAAGAAAGTCTGACAAATGTAAGAAAAGTGCCAAGCGTAACATTGATACGAGATTAGGTAAGTAACATACCTGACTGCAAATGAATATAGAATTTAAAAGTTATAGTGATCAAGATCGTTGGAAGACGCTGAAAAATTTATAAAACAGTTAAAAAGTATTGAGGAAGGAAAGCGCTGATAAAATGTTCAAGTAAGGTTTATTACAGCAAGTTAAGAGAGATAGTATATAAAAAAGGTGAAAGATGGTGTGCCTGTAGTTCATAAAAAACTAACCGTACCACGAGGCTGTTCGCCAGTTCGCCTCCGCTGCCCCATGAACTTGGAAGCAGTGGCGCGCTGCACTAGATTCGGTTTCTGACTCCATATATCCGAAAAACCAGCAGTTTGTATTAATTTAATTTAACACTGATAGCGTGTTTCAGGATACATGTAATGCCATCTATTGGTGGCGTTCGGTACTAAATTATCAATAATTATTTATATCTTTTAGCAGAGGTTCCCAAACTTTTTGTCGGTCTACCAGACATGTAAATTGCTTGGTTTTGCATTGACTATCTTTCTAATATAGATTTTTACAAATTCATCGACTTCAAATTAATGGCTTTGACAGTTGACACAGCGCTAGTGAGAAACTTTATAAAAAAATTGCTCATCGAGTTCTTAGGTTTTCGCGATTTCGCGAAAAAAATTGCTGTTAACTTTAGTTCTTAAACGGAATCGTAATAAGAGTTCATGGTAAGGCCCCTGGAGAGACTACGGGCTCGACTGCAAGACCAGGTTACGTCGGGTATCCAGGCCAAACCCTCCGCCAGTAATACGCCTTCACGGGCGTCCCTGGTGGACCCGAAATTGGGTATGGACTCGCCGTGGTTTGTGGTTAGCTGTAGATCCCTACATATGTCATACATCTTAACCGTCCGGATACGTTCGTCTGCCCCGGTGATGTGTGGCCGGGGCGTTCGTCCCGCGCCCAGCTAACGTGTCTTAGTCACGTGAATTGCCCTTTAAGTCGGTAGCTATGCCCGGAGATTGTCGCAGATCACTGCTACTTGGTATCTCCGGTACTACCCCGGAGAACTAGTAGAGGATGAGTTAGACATCTTCCGGTCTCTCCGGCCACGTAGGAATTTGGGAACTGGAGAGACGCCGTTCAGTCGGATTTCTTTGCGTCGCGTGAGTTTGATATCTAGCAAGCTTGAAATTTTCACGCAAGCAACAAGGACAGTCTCTCCGTAACGTAAAGCGGAAGACTCGTGAATTCTTTGCACGGATGGAAGATTTCTACGCCAATGAAATACTCGTGACCACTTTGGGAATGCGACAAGCTCTCGACATATCAAACGGAGCGCGTTCAAATACGCATAATCGTTTTCTACGTTAATTATGACTGAGAAATTTTATAAGTTAAATTTTTTCTCTACTTTCAGATTTCACGTTGAAAGAATACGCGGATGCTCCAAAGCCATTTATGACATTGAGGAAACAAAAGCCAGAAGAAATAACAGAAGTATTACATCTATTATCGTACACAGGTAATATAAATGTACCATCAGAAGATACCGAAATCTTTGATATCGACAATCCGTCTGACATTAATGTTATGCCGTCTGAAACCGTAGAAAAGAAAAAGAAAACATCAGAAAAGAATATCACAGAAAAAAATCTTGAAACAGTTCCTTGTTCTGAGAATGATTCTGAGGTTAAGGAAGATCCGCTTGTTAGGAGCCGTGATTGGTGGAATTCTGATGGGAAATGTGACAAAGAGCCTAAACTTGATTGTTATAAGGACGCTTGGGATTCTGATTGAACAATTTACTAACATTCTTCGTTTAAAGAATGATTTGTCACTATTTAGTAAAGTGGCAAAATTCAGCCACGATATTTTTTTTTCTGGAAATGCGTTTTAACGTGTTGTTATTTGTTGTTAGACCGGCACTTGCTGTCTGTTTATAAGGTTGCATAAAATAAAATAAATTCACTCTGCTAGAAAAACGTATTATTCACGTAACATAATATTAAAAATTTATTACTTTTTAAAATACAGAGACCTAACAGCATACTTAAATATTATGACGACACGATTACACAGTTATAAATTGAAATTATAAAAATAGTTAAAATTAGATTATTATGACATCGGGAGTTACTTTATTTATAGTACATTACTGCAGAGGCCGGGAAGTTAGGGATTGCTAGGCGAGTCAAGCAATCCCCGTTCTCGCTGAGGCATATATAGGTTTTTTCTCAAACGGTGTGAGGAAATAATAAAAGACTAAAGAGACGAAGATGTATATACATTAAAAGTAATATTTGACGTGATAGGACAATTGCTGAAAATAAAATGTTATGGTTTATCCAGACACATTAATAGTACTCTGTTGAACTTCCGATGATGTGTTTCACTAGCACTAATTTTCGCAACTAAAATACAAGAACGACGAAAAAACAAAAAAACACCAAACACTTCTAGTTTAAATGTTACCGCCATTTTCTTTTTCTTTTTTTAAGTAAGCGGTACAGATATGTTTAATTCGCAACTATGAACACTGGGCAGTTGGCTGTATGAGTTTTTCTTTTGCCTGTTTACATAGTGCAATAATATACATATGACGAAGAGGACAGTATTGGGTTTTCATCATTGACTTACAATTATATGGACGTCGGGTCCGCGCTAAAAAGTGTCCGCACTTGTAAGGCGCTAAAATCGTATACAGAGCGCGACACTCCGCTTTAGTCTTCATTTGTTCTACGGACAGCGCGATACTGCGATGACATAACAATTTAAATTTCGAATAGGTTGACTTGGGACATTTTTTTCGTGGTTTTTGTATTAGACCCGTCGTCCATTTATTTGTAAGTCAATGGTTTTCATAGTTACTTTGCAGGCCTTAGCCGGTAAGAAGTCGCATGGTCCATAAATGACAAACTTTCCGTGTTAGTTTTTTGAAAATAATGCAAACATTTCCGAGCATAATTATTAATACAAAGATCGAACACTCAGAAAAGATTTCTTCGATTCGCGATGGATGACTGATGAGTGTTCGACCTTTGTACTATTATTTATAACAAACTAGTGCAGTAATTTCACATAAAAAATAATTGTATATCAATTCTATAAAAATAAAAAAAAATCCGAGCATGTTTGAGAAAAAATATATTATATAATCGGAATAAATAGCTATCTCTAATAAACATTGCTAATTATATCGTTCGCTTATCATGAACTGCTGAAAACGCACACTTTACAATTGGTTCTTGTGATACTCACTGAATAATGAAAGACTGACTAAATAATGGTATAGTGTATGTGTAAGAATAAGAAGCAATAACAAACGAAAAATCCCCGAAACAATTTTTTAATTTAATTTTTTCCCGCAAGATGTATTTACCTACAATGACAATATTTATTCCTAGGTGAAGTTATCCAGTGGACTTTAAGTGGACATTTTTGGATCTTGTTATTTTTCTTGTTGTTTAAGTATATTACTTATATAAATATATTTAAGTACGTTATTATTGGTAGACATAGGCATATAAAATGACCAATAATTGACTGTTTTCCATACTTACTAACTATAAATGTTTAGGTTTATTTACTGTTGTGTATTTAAACAATAAATTTGTTTAATAAAACAATATAAATGTTACCTTCGTTCTTTTATTTAGCATTCTTATTTGATCCTCGTATTCATAGCATTAACAGAATAGAATAGAAATCATTTATTACTACGCCACAACACAGTAATGCTCTGGCCACCCAGAGGCGAGCCGCGGAAGCGTTCCAGGCGCTGGAATTTTTGTAATGTACGAGTTTATATGAACCCTGGCACAATGAAACGTTAAGAAAGATAAAAAAGGTAAAGCTAAATTAAAATAACAAAATAATAAAAATAACATCGTATACAACAACAAAGCAAACATTAAATATTCAACACAATAAGAGTGAATGTCATGCGTGCGGCTGTGGCCAGTGTTGGGCAAAATTTAATTGTTCTGGCAATTAAAGATTGACAATTAATTAATTGTCAATTGCGAAACAGCAATTAACGATTGATCAATTGTTAGTTGCGAGAACCGCAATTAACAATTGATTAATTGTTAATTGCGGTTCTCGCAACTAACAATTGATCAATCGTTAATCGCAAATATCTACAATTGACAATTGATCAATTTTCAATCTTTTCAATGTTTTTGATTAACAATTAACAATTAAAACTGACAATTATGATAAATTTATAGGGCATAGGGGTGAGTTAGGGCGTTGGTTATGGGGGCCCCGGTTGGGGGCCCGGTTGGGGGCCCCGGTTGGGGGCCCGGTTGGGCCCCAGTTGGGGGACCCGGTTGGTGGTCCGATTGGGGGCCCGGTTGGGGGCCCGCTTGGGGGCCCTTCTTGGGGGCCCGGTTGGGGCCCCAGTCCAGGGACGCGTCGCAATTGATTTAATTGCAATTGATTTCAATTGAATTGATTTTTTAATCTGATTGAATTATTGATTGAAATTTAATTGATTAACGCCCAACACTGGCTGTGGCTTATGTATATATGTACAAGGATCCACTCAGCTATTGTCACGGGCCGAGAAAAGGCGAGGTGCCGGCCGAGGTGCCGGGCCGAGAAAAGGCTGTGATTGTGAGTGACTGATTTTCGGTGGACCCTAAAACCGAATGAGAAGCAGTTTATACATTACAATCTCTTCGGGGTCGTTTTCAGATAACCTCCAAAAAAGTGTCCCGTTCAATAACTTTTATGTTATTACATGAATGCTAAGCATTATTTATTTAATATGATTGCTTGGTTACTTAGTGTTACACATAAAAAGACTACTTTACTAAGTCACGGTAATAAATGAAAATTAAAAAAGTGGGCAATTTCTCACTCATGGGAGCCGGTTCCACGTCGCCCTAATTTTAAGAAAAGAAGAAAAAATTAAACACTCGTGGAAATCGCAATATTTCCCATCGAGGATAAACTGTAATAACTTACACGTCGAATACATACCGTAACTTTCCAATTTATTATAAACAAACATGGGAATACAAAATGTGCATCAATTTTTCTTATCATTAATGTCAATTCTGTTGAAGTTTTTATTGTAATCGTACTGGCTACAAGCAGTTCAATGTATTTATTTTGTGTATGTATTTATTTATTATTTATTTATTATTTGTGCATGTATTTATTATTTATATATTAAATAAGATCGTCCGTTGTCTTATATTTTTTCATGTTTTCACCTTAAATACAAAATTTTAATACAACTATTTATTTATTTCTACTACATTTCGGTTATGGGCTGTCATGTTCCGGTAATAGTTGTTAGGTTTGTTTGAAAAAACAAATATACGCGATTTAAATCCGGAAAAATAGTTTCATTTCCTATGTGTAACAATCGCGAAAAACTAGGAACTCAATAGTTGTTATTATTTTCATTGTGGTGTAATTGCGTAAATATTTTTTAAACAGGAAAAAAAAAATATTTTTTACGCATTATGTCAGTATAAGATAGTTGTAATACCATGCTTTCGGGTTCTGGAGCTTCGCTGAAATCCATCAGGACGTTGAGTGGTAAATATAGTTATCCGCAATGAAAGTTTAAGATGCGCATATATTTGCTACACGAAGACCTATGGTCCGCAGTTGTGGGGTACGATCAGGAAGACAAAACATCTTTAGCCGAGATGAAGAGTAGAGAGCTGAAAGCATACAAATACCAATTTCAGCGCTAGTGACTAAATCGTTCTCATTCATGTAAAGCAATCTATCTAAATAAGTATTAATAATAGTTTTATAAACTTTATTGTACATCAATTATGGTTATATACTCGAAGGCTATACCCTTAGAACATAATAATTATACCTACTCAAACATTTCTACCTACCTATCTACCTATCTAATACCATCGATCTCGATTTATACGTGAACGAGCTGCATGAGTACTTCTTCAATTAATAGAGAAGCTTTCAATTGCGGTATTGTTTAAATTGTGCACTGATTACCTATTTACTAAGATCTCTTATTATATTGCTATTTGAGAACATCTATAATTGACCTTCAGTTGTTACTATTACCATTCAATTTGGTTTTGTGCTGTTGAGCTGCTTTCTTTGTAAATAAAGTAAAAAGTTATATCCTTGAAATCCATATTGAACGTACCGCCCACGTCTTTTTTATGCAATCACATTCCTTCTCGAAGGTTTATTTGCGCATGCGTGCATTCCGCACATGCGCTCCTCATGACACCTGTCAAAATCTTTCCTTCTCCGCCTGACGTCATACAAATCACCCCCAGTGGAAATCCCGACTGCATTGCCGTGGAAAATAATGTAAAAAGGTAAAAAATTGTCATAATATCACATTTTATTTGCCTTTTACGTTTTTGTTTCATTACATGTTTTATAATCTTTCGTCTTTCGGAATTCGAATTTGGTATTTTAGAAAAACAAAATGTATTCTTTCCGGTTTCTATTTCTCAAAATATTGTGCAAATGTAGCACTAATGTCGAGATTTTCTAATTATAAAGGATATAAATTCGAATTTCAATAATCGAACGCTTGTTTTTCTTAATTTGCCTGGTTTTTTCTAAGATAGAGCTGTCAGGTGTTCGGTCCACAAGGATGCGATATTGCCCTTGATATGAGGTCTATTTTTAGCTCTAAGAAGATGTACAAATATTCATATAATACCTTCCTTTTCGTGACCTTTACTCTTATCGCGCTATCTGAAAATTGATACAAAACAACGTTGTTAAGCAACAGTTCAAGCAATAAAATGAATTGATTCTGGCAGATTGGCAATTTTATTCGATGCTCGTAGGAATTATTCTTATTTGCAATAAGGTTCAAAATCCAATCATAGATTGAGCCCTGTTTTAGTTAAGTCAACTGAAAACTGTATAAAATGTTTTACAGTATATTCTTTTCGCTTAAATTGTTTAACGCTTGCGAAAACGTAATTTATATTTAAATTAAGTTGGGCGAATTTCGTAACGGAGTTTCCCTTCGAAGAATTTTATAATTAACTGTACAGAATAATTACCAAGCTTTTATGTAATCCTGGTTGAAGGCGGAAAGTCACGATTATATTGCGTAAAGGTATTCAAACACTACTTTTTCCTATTAATGGTAATACTCTTAAAAATTAAAATAGGACTTCGCATAATGCTCTGGCCACACAGAGGCGGCCGCGGAAGCGTTCCGTACGCAGGATTTTTGGAATGTACGAGTTCATATATGAACGCCGAGCACTATGACAAACAGGCGAACGCGGGGCGGGTATATTCCATTGAACTGTATGCCCAAACAGAGCGGTAGCAGCGGGCGGGCCGGGAGCGGGCCTTTGGCGGGACTTTAGCAGGCTTTGACGTCGTATCTTTTTATAACTCGTGAGTGTGTTTTTATTAAGTTTCAATATGAATTCACTAACAAAAGTAGGTAATTTTCTTGATCATTATCCGCCAGCGATGCGGTTTTGTACTTTAAAATCTGTGTTGAAAATGAATCGTGACTGCTGGTGGTCGCCGCGGACTACGCTTGGGACTGCTGTGTGGCGCGCCCTGGAACGCATTCGCTTCCTGCAGGTCCGCCACTGGACCGCTTTTCCTGCTGTACCGCCTCCGTGTGGTCTGAGCTTTAAGGTCTTGTAACCGGGCCTTGAATCTTTATATAAAATAAAATAAAGGCAATCAATCCATATTTATTGCGCAAATACAGTGTATTATATCTGTGAATGTTTATATTTAAAGATCACAAAATCCTTTTATTTCACATGTAAAACAATAAAAAAGCAAATACAAATTGTAGTCTTGGTATAATAAAATCACACGTGATCTATCACACGTCAAAGGTGCTTTTATAGTCACCAAAAATAATACGAACTGCATGAAATTTCTTCTTCGTGCTCCTGGCCTTAGTTCCCATTTCTTTAGGAGTCTGCTCTCCTAGTACGTGTGCGCCAATCTGGGGGCCTTTCAGTAAGCTCAGGGTCTATACCCATCCTCTTCATGTCTCTTTGGACGTTTCCAAATTGTCTGGGGTCTGCCTGGTCCTCTTTTGGCGGTTTCAGTTTACAGCATAGATATAGAAAAAAAGGGTTATAGCGACATGATTTGTTTGGTCATATGGCTGCCATCCCTACGCATTACGTGGCCATATCAACGGCTTACGTTTAGTTTTTCCTGTATAATACGAACTAATTATGAAACAAATTTTGTATATGTCATATTTTATAACCTCCTATTTAAGCATAAAAAGTCATCGACTAATTTCGTTCTTCGCTCTTTGTCTCTTGGCGAATGTGGCCTTATTACACAGCAGACAAGACTTAGATAAAAACCTATGAAGCACATTGCCCTCGGCGATATTACAAATTAACAAACGTAAAATATACAATTCAAAAATGAAAGTATTGAAGAACGTAATTATACATTAAGACGCAAATTAAAAGAAGACCTCATTACCCGCTTCAAATTAAAAAATATCTAACAAAAGCCTCGTAAGATATTACTTACTATAGACAACATAAAAATGGACCTAATATTGACACTTGGGGGACGCCCATGTTAATTGCAGATCCAGATGACACAGTACAGTTGACGTCAATCCTCGAGATAGCTATTGTGAGCATTTTCGTCTGAATGTCAACAATGAGGCTTCAGCTCTCTTGAATAGTCACGTTCATTCAGTGTACACGTCATGGAAAATAGTTTGTCAGGATTATTTTGGAAATATCTGTGGACTTCTTTCTCCCCGAGATATTTTTCTTGTGTATTACACTAAGCAACATTTGTGCTACTGTAAAACGTTTGAGATATGTAAAGAAAAAATAAAAATGCAAATAAAACTTCGTACATACAAAAAAATATTATCTAACAAAAGAAAACCAAAAACATTTGTTATAGAATCCAAGTGTAATTGCGTAAAAAGAACAAGCTGTTGCATACATTTGAGTGGAGTAGGGCTGATTGAACGATATCCACCACTGAGAGGCCTAGCGGGAGAATCACAATGCTTCTCAGTTCTCTGAGGCGGTGTTGGCATTTTAATTTCTAACTTAAGTATATTACATTAGTGATTGTTTAGTAGCAAAAAAGTCTTTGTGGCAGAACGGTTACCACACTGGTATGTCACGCTGAGATCCCGGGTTCGATTCCTGGGCCGAAAGAAATATTTAGTATGGCCTACATTATTTCTCTTGAGAGACGTTGTTTATGTGTGTGTCCATGGCACCGGCGATACAGGTTTCCGTAGTGCGGGCTATGAGTGTGTGCATTATGGTTAAAACATCTAGGTGAAACCTAAACGTCGTAGCAGATTAAAAATTGTGCGAAGACCACAGCTCGTTTTAGGTCAGCGTAGCGTATTACGGTCTAAACCTTGTGAAATTTTATAATTTTATCGAGTTCTTAGGTTTTCGCGATTGTTACACATAGGAAATGAAACTATTTTTCCGGATTTAAATCGCGTATATTTGTTTTTTCAAGCAAACCTTTTTTTGAAAAAACAAATATACGCGATTTAAATCCGGAAAAATAGTTTCATTTCCTATTTTATAATTTTCCTTAAATTAAAATTAACAAAAAAAATAAATTCGACTAATTTCCTTCTCAGAATCTATCTCCCGAAATGTTGT